AGAATGTAGTGAGTGACATTTTCAATCTTCATCCCTTTCAAACATGGTACTGATGAAATGTCCTTGGATAATACCAACAACAAGTATGACTGTATGTCAACTCTGTGGCGAGGAAACGAAGCTATCGCGATCGGGTTTCAGTGATGAGGTTCAAGATCTATCACTATCTGTTGTTCCATGTTTGGGTTCTATAGAATTGAACAGACAGGCGAGCAGATGGTTTTACACGAAGCAGTTGATGATGAGAGATGCGTAGACCGGTACAGATTTTGTGTGAACGTACTGCATTAGTTTTTGTTTAAATTTGCGGTTGTCTTGAATTCGACATACAAATTAGCAGTTTCAGGTGGTGCCTGTTCACATTTTTGCAGAAATAATTTTGAAATATCAAAATTTAAGAAACATTTTGTGTTTAAATTGCATTTATAAATATTCTTATTAACGTGTATTCATATTCATTTCTTAAAACTACTGGTTTATTTTTTTCCTTTTTAATCTGAATAATTAATCAATGTTATATCTTATAATAGGGGATAATTTATGTTCTTGTCGACCAGCATGTGTTTTCCATCGAGTGACCTGACATAGTTGATAGTTTCACGAGTCGCGGTGTTGCATTTTCTAACTGATCTACCGCCTCCGTGGTCTAGAGCTAGAGCATCCACCCGGAGAGCGGAATTTCCGGGGTTCGATCCCCGGCCGCGTCATACCAAAAGACGTTAAAAGATGGTACCTGTTGTTACCCTGTCTGGCGCTCGGTATTAAGGGGCTAAAACAAGAACTGGTCGGTTCGGAGTCAGTATATTGTGTCTGAGTGGGGTATTCATGTTAAACATCGGCATGGTATCTCAGTGGGAAAGCACTATATAAATCGGCATCAGTCCGGACTAGTACAAGCAGCCACACACACACACGTGCATGCACGTCGCCAATTAAGTGCAATAATCCTGGACGCGACGTTAAACCCAATTTCACCTGACCTATAACTGATCTTGGTGATCTGAACGCCATAGTGTCGTATTCGGGTGAGATATCTATTTCATTGTTTCATTGACACAAACATGTCAGATGCAATGCGATAACTGTGTTCCCTTGCTTGTTCACGCGAACACTTGACTTGCCTCTTGGTGCAACTGGTGCCATCGGAAGAACAGGATACATACCTTATCGCGAGCACCTAGTGTCATCACTATTTGATAGTGACTCATAAATACATACTGCTTTTAGCAGATATTAGCCATGATTATAAATGGCTTTTGTCGCCATTATTCAGATGAACACAACATTTGATCTATCTCTGGTATATCAATATTGATTTAGATTAAGATGTATTCGTACATGTATATGTTTATATCTTAATATGTAAACGCTATCTAATATCATAGCTATCTGGATATCAATATTGGTATTTGATACATATCTCATATGAACAGTTCCTTAACACCCGTCAGAATAATGATTTGTATATATAGAATACTAAACGAGCTCCCGTGTAATACCAATTTTATGAAACGAGTGAATAGTTGTGGTATCTGACGAGCGAAAGCGAGTCAGATACCATAACTATTAACGAGTTTCATAAAATTGTTTTTACACGGGAGCGAGTTTAGTATTTTATTTATTACTGGCCATTTATAAGGTTTTTAGAATTAGACTGTTGAGTGTGAATAGGCTGACACCTACACGATCCACGGCATAATCCAATTGAGTTTAACACAGTAATACTTCAAACACGTCAAAAGTTGAAACGTATGAATTTAATACCAGACAACAGTCCACCTTTAGAATTCAGGCGTCCGTTCCACAAAATTATCGTAGCGTTAAGGTTATCGCAACTCATATACTTTAACTTAGACCAACGACTGTCGTCGCGCTACCGTACGATCGCCTTGTGGAACGGGGCCTTGCACCTCAAAGTTTACAATCACGTCACAATACCCGATGACGTAATTTGTGGAATTTTGTTGCAAGATCCTTTAGGCGAAACAATGCCATGTGACGCCAACCTAGCAACAAGGTTGCTGGGGTCATCGAGTGTGCATAAGCTCCTCTCAGTGATCTATCATCTCCACACGCAATGTCGTTGAATAAGCCAAGGGATGTTGAGAGCTTTCAAAATTTGTGAAACGTGTTCCGAGAGTACATAAGCACGCGTTTTGGTATTACACAATGTGTAATACAGCTGTATGTTTATTAAACGGGTGATCTCTTCACGGGCAAGTAATAACTAAAATTATAACACTATTGTGGCTACTAATATCACATCATAACATTCCATCAAGCTAATTTTAAATACAAATACCATTTACACCTTTTCCCAGTTTTCTACTAAAACAAAACATGATCATGATGGCTTAGTATATCCAGTAGTATACCATACATACAAGTTTGTTTGTTTGTTTGCAGTTTAAAGCCGCACTCAGCAATATTCCAGTTATATGACGGCAGTCTTAAATAATCGAGTATGAACTAGACAATCCCGGTTTTGACATCATGAGCATCGATCTACGCCATTGGGATACGATGACATGCATCAACAAAGTCAGCGAGCCTGACCACCCGTTGCCGTTATTCGACTCTTGCGACAAGCATGGGTTGCAGCTGAAGACCTATTCTAACCCAAATTTCAAGGGTCTGTATACATAAAGCTTTTTTAAGAAATAGCATAAACAATTTTCTCAGACGCTATTCAGTGCGTCATGTTTACATTCAAATATTTTCCATTCACATATTATTTTTTGCAAACACCAATTGATAATAACTGATCGAAATAACGATTACGACCGATAATGTCTTTATCAGCAGTCAGGGGTCTATGAAAATAAGATGATTATTTTCGTAACGCGTGCACAATATTATTGGTTGTTTTACATATCATAATTTGACGGGTCATCTTTGACTACAGCGCCTTGATATTCTCTTTAATTTAAAATGTGTAGATACGAATATGATCCGACGTTAACAAGTCAATAATATATTATACCTGAGCGCGCTAATAAAATTTCGTATGAGGTACTCGCGTGATGCAACGGGAAAAGAATGAATGATCATGCGTGAGTTGCGGTGAGGAAAGTGTGGGATCTGTGTTAGTTAAGAACTCCTGCTAAATGTATGGTGAACGTGTCATAGGACGCCTGTTCCGTGTCTTAACATATGCGAACAAAGAACAGATAAATAAAAGAAAATGAAAAGAAAACCCCACTTTCGTAAATCGGTTAAAACTTTACATTTATCATTATTCCAATGCATGTGTATGTTATCTGGTCATTCCTTTATGCGGAAGGGATCTTTAAGGAGGTATATTACTATTTTATATGTGACAAAAACAATCAAAATGTTTTTTCTACATCTACTGTCCGCAATCCGTATTTCTACATTTAAGAACTTTCATTAATATACCATCAAAACACAATTGTAAAACATCAGATCAATTTGTTGTTTCGAATGATTACAATTCGCTTATTCAATAAGTGTGTGTTTGAGATTTTACACCATGTTTCATGTTGATGAGATGAGAGTGCCCTGGGGTCAAGTGGTCAGGAACAACAAGCTTAGAATCAATTACTCTCCCGCTGTTTTAGCTCTGCTGTACATTGACCGAAGACTCGTCCCAAGTAGTCCGACACAGTCTTATTAGATCAACTGGTCACCATTAGGTAAATGAATGTTCTGTCTAACGTATAATGCTTCTCTGATGTTAGATTTGGGAGCAAAATTCAATTCTTGCTACTGTGATCAATTTTTCACTGCAAGCGCAAAGAACTTCGATGTGAATTGTTTTGGACTGATTTTGAGGAGGAAATCCCAGAGGTATACACGTTCAGCAAATGGTTATTCGATGGTGATGTATTTGATGAGGGTTGTTTTGGGCCTGAACGTTTTGCACTGTTTTGGGGGACCTTTTGCCCAGTAACGTTTCTATAACGTATGTAATCATGTGTGTACTTTCTTTTTCCCGGCAGGTAAGGTAGCATCAAGTGGGGGGTGCCTCATACGAAATCTTTACCACAAAAAATCCGGAAAATCATTGCATATTAATTAAATATTATTAATAGCTTTTCTATAGTGAGCGATGTTTGACATCTACTTATAAGGGGGTAACTTCTACCACAGAAGTCCGAAACTTCTTTGAATATTAGGAAAATTTATGATAAACTTTTCTATAGAGAGCGGTGTTTGACAAATTTGCATAGCAGTATGTATTCCCCTGCTTTTGTCAACTACAGTCACAGTGAAACCACGTTTGTCCGAAACCCGTTAATCCGGAAATCCCGTCCTCAGGACCGTTACAGCTGCAAATGAGACCAACGACAAATAAGCTGCACTTGATATGAATCACGATGTCGCGCTTCTTCGTATCACGACATCAGTTAATGACGTGTCTTTCTCAATACCAACTGACATATATCATCCAAACGTTGTAAAATGCCAAGTACGTGCTTGTTTTGTTTTACGATTATTTCCCATGAGAAATACCGTCACACGTGTTACATTAATTTTCATCAAACAGTTTCCGCACGACACTTCACGACCCCATCATTATTTCAATGACACAAATTGGCATTGCTATCTCAATCTCAGAAACGATAATCTGATATGAAATCGAAGATTATAAACTGAAGGTCAAACATGAAACATCCAACGGTCAAACATATATGCTGAGGCGTCTTTAAAATAATCTCAAAACTGACGGCAAATTGTCACCCTATCAGTCTATCAAGCAGAGGAAGTGATACTGCTGTCTCCTTTTCAAAAACGATAATCTGAAATGCAATCGCAGTTTGATCCATGAAGGTCAAACATGAGACAACCGATAGTCACGCGATATAAGCTTAGGCGTTTTTAATACCATCTCAAAACGGAAAAAAGGGTATTATCTCTTGAGACTATTAAAAAGCCCGCATGACACTTCTATCTCCATTTCAGAAACAATACTCGTATGAACTAAGCCACAATAAACCTCCGCCCAAATGGAAAATGACATCATCAGTAATACTCACTTGGGCAACACGTCACATCCTTGTTGCATGAAGGCCCCGAGGGAGAACCAAAGACTGTTACCAATGGTGAAGTCATTCGTGAGCTTCTGCTCGTCACCGTCGACTTGCCACTCAACGGTGCTGAACCTGCTGACGAGGAAGAGGACGACACTGACGCCGATGAAAGCAAAAGCGGTGCACAGCCAGATCTCCTGGGAGAGAGGTTCCATGAAGGAGAAGACATGGGGAGGCTCGTTCTCAGGTTTCTTGATCATGATGCTGATCCCTAAACTCATGTACGGCTTGGTGAAGTCCAATACCTTCTCCCTCTCTGACGTTATTGTTAACGGCGCTATAGCTATGTCCGCTTCCTGGAACAATGATATTCATAGTAAGCTGAAACGGATGCATTTTAAACACTGAGAGATGAACTACTCAACACGTGGATTATAAACACATTTAAAATATTTAACTTCAGTTCAGAAAGACGGTTATTATTTCAATGTCAATACACCGTCATATGGGTTGTCCGGGAGTATTGCGAGACGTTTGCAGAGTTGCAACCCTCAGTCATGCCGTGATCCGCTGGTTGGGGGTATCCGTGGCTGATCATTGGTTTGTCAGCACCACAGATATCTATACCTTATGTAGGATTTATAAATGACATACGTTGTACATGTATACATCACATTCTGCTACCACCGACATGATTAAGAGTGAGTGAGTGGTTGGTTGGTTTGTTGTTTAACGCCGCACTCAGCAATATTCCACCTATATGACGGCGGTCTGTAAATAATCGAGTCTGGACCAGACAATCCAGTGATTAATATCATGAGCATCAATCCACGCAACTGGGATTGATGACATGCATCAACCAAGTCAGCGAGCCTGTCCACCCGATCCCGTTAGTCGCCTTTTACGACAAGCATGGGTTGCTGAAGACCTATTCTACCCCGGAATATTCACGGGTCGTGAGTAAGTGAGTGAGTGAGTGAGTAGGGTCTACATCGCCTTTAGTAATTTAGTAAAAAACAGGGAACACCAATAATGATCTTCATCAAGACCGGGTCCACACGGATGACACGTCACCCACCGCTCCTCCCTTTCAGGTTAAAAAATTCCTTTGTTTGTGTTTGCGATAGGTGCCACCGGTGAAGCAGAATACGGTATCCCATTCACGAACACATGATTTCATCACTATTTGATAGTGATTCATAAACACAACCGGTCATGCTTACAATATAGTCGGAGCCATTGCAGAGATAGCTTCTGATTATGGACTGTGAACTGCAATTGATTAGTAATTTGAGATAAGATGCCTCATGAAGTATACATTGCTTGAAGATAACTGGGGAGACGGATGGCCATGTTGTAATCGCTGGGCAGAGAATGCTAGCTAGTATCAAATGATAGTAAGTTGGGCGTTACACATTTTACCCACATATGGAATCGAACCTGGGCCTTCGGCGTGACGAACCAACGCTTTTATTAAAAAGTACACCCCACCAATCTGTAAAAATCTATCTACCTATCTGTATAAGCTCCGACGTTCAATGAAGGCTTATACTCCAATTTGTAAATGTAAAACACAACTTTAATTTTATATCATTTGTGTCCCGTGCGTACGTTTAGAGCTACTTGTTTATTTATAGACATGGGGTCATTTCGTAAGAATTTATTCTGAACAGTTGCAGCCGCGTAATGAATTCAACCGCTCCCTTGGTGATAAATTGTATTTACCGACTAGCGCCATGAAAACATGCCTGTATCATGTAAATGCTGTTAAAAATAGCGTACATGTATACTGCAAATCGTCATATAAATATTTATGCGTCCTAAAAACAGAGACATTTTGTATACATCAACGTCGCCCTTAATTCATCATATTTCTTACAACCAGTTTTAAAAAGGTTCTGTCATGGGGGAAATAAGATTAGATCCGCACTGCTCGTAGAGCGCAACATACATTTGTTTGCAAGGGGTCTGGAGTAATGTCTTTCTTTTTTCCCAAATTTCGTATTTTCGTTTATGCTTAAACTAGATACAGATTAAAATGATAACTGCAGGTAATGGTCTGATTCGTGTTTAATGTAATAGTCATGCTTTTATTCTTACATTACTTTTGTATGGACGACAGTTATCATGATTTGACCAATTTATGCAATAATCAAATCAACTAGTTTTGTTCACATAACATTGTCGGTGTCGGAGCAATAGATTTGTTTATTTGTATGTTTTTAACACCGCACTCAGCAATATTCCAGCTATATGACGGCGGTCTGTGAATTATTGAGTCTGGATCAGACAATCCAGTGACTGACATCGCGAACTTCCACGCATTTGGGATACGAAGACATGCATCAACCAAGTCAGCGAGCCTGACCATCTGATCCTGTTAGTCACCGATTACGACAAGCATATGGAGCAATAGAGATAATGTACAAACGAAATCTATAGTGTAAATACAACAAATATATATATAAAAAAACTAGAGGATGCGAATAAGGATTAACTTTATATTTTAGTCAAAAGAGAATGTTTTAATGTTCACACACACGCACGCACGCACGCACGCACGCACGCACGCACGCACGCACACACACACTCATTCACAATTATTTGCGTTTGTGTGTCGACATTAAAACATTTTCCTTTGATCAATCTGAAGCAATTATTACTCCAAGTCTACTGCTTGTAGATATAAAACAGAAGGGGCGGTCGGGTAGCCTAGTTGTTAAAGCGTTCGCTTCCAGACCCGGGTTCGATTACCGACATGGGTACAATGTGTGTAGCCCATTTCTTGTGTCCCCCGCCGTGATATTGCTTATTGGTAAAAGCGGCGTAAAACCATACTTACTCACTCACTCACTATAAAACAGAAACGTAATGTTTCAAAGTGTTCCAGAACAGATGGGACTAGAGGATGCAATGAAAAGCCTAACTTGCTTCATTGAGCAACTATTCAAATATCCAACTGGGAGCAGAACGAGACAAGCAATCTTCCAAACGTGTATACCAATAATATGTAAGACTTGACTCCGAGACGGAGTCACCGCTCCGTTTTAACAGTAACAGAATAATTCAGATGTTCCACTGATGGCATCAACACCATTGGAGACTGCCCGACTAACCAACGCAGCACTGATCTCTGTCTACCAGTGAGTCCTACATACGTGTCTTATCAACTCTCCGATGATGCCATTCCATATACCGGACTCGTTCTTGGAGCCGTAATTCCCATCTTTAACAAGTCTGAAAAAGTAGTCGTATCCAAGGTTACGTGCTACCATCTCCGCCAGGTCCACACAGAAGCCTTCAAACCTTTCAATGGTGATCATGGGGATGCCTTGCTCCGGACTCTTCTTGAACATCAAATAAGGTGGATCCTGTAAGAAGAATTAGCATTTATATTTTCACGTGAAGGCTTGATAATTGATATGTAGAAATGGTATTAAGACTAACTGAGTGGGTATGGTATGAGCAATATTCCAGCAATATCACGGCGGGGGAACCGGAAATGCTTCACACGTTGTATCCATGTGGGGAATCAAACCCGGGCCGTATGAATGACCAGTCTCGGTTATCCAACGAAACAGATTTCACTGGGCTAAAAATGCAAAATTATACGATCACTAAACATCATTGATGACTCCATATCTTTGTCATTGAACAACCTTCTCACTCTGAAACAAACGATAGTTCTCCCATACATATGATGGCGATGGTGGCAAGGTCGTCTAAGGTCAGTTGCATCCTTTATAAGAGCCAAATAGATCGTATGATTCTGGGTTCGAATCCAAGATTCATCCACATTTGTATTATCCTGCCAGCACCTTACCCGTGCTTGTATGTTTCCACAAAGTAGTATCGTCTAAACCATTCTCGGCTTACTCCTTCACACGTGATGCTATTGTAATAGTAATACGTGTATGATTAATCACGCTTTCACACACGGCCTGGGTGATTATATGTCATCATTCCCCGAATGGCGTGGACCATTTATCATGATATATACCTATGTTTTGCGTGGGCAAGATTCACCTACTTACAGCCCGCTGATACAGCCGGACTAGTAATGATTGTGGCGTAAATCAACGTTTTTTAAAGGGGGAATTCGAATATGGTTAACAGGTGATGTGAGGTGTTTACGTCGCGTTCAAGATTATTGCACTTATATAGCGACGTGCATGCACGTGTGTTCATGTGTGTGTGGCTGCTTGTTATCGTCCGGACTAATGTCGATTTTATAGTGCTAGCGTGGCCTATTGGGATTCTGTGAGCGGGTCGTAAAAACACGGTCACGATTTTGTCACGGTCTGGTTGTAATTCATTAGTGGTACCGTCGAAAGGTTTATGTTCAGCTCTCTAGTTTGGTACTTACATTTCCCACTTGGTTGTGGTTAACTCACCCGGCTATTGCATTCAGGTTGACCTCTCCGAGGTCCGCGCACACGTATATAACCCTTGGCAAACTCATGTGTCTTCGCCCTCAGGTATCGCTGGACCATTTACGGGTCGTCTTGCTACTGGTTTGGTCAGGTCGAAACTTAGGCTTCGTTCGAAAGTGGTAATGGGGCTGTTTTCTCCCTGGTACTGACTTTCTTTTGTGGTATTGAGCTAAAACTTATTGGCTAGGCTTGTGTATTTCGTACTCCGTTTTCTAGTAATCCTGCAATAGTCTAGCTTAGGTCAAATGCCTATTTACGATTGGGAGCCTAGGTGCTCCTTAGCTCAAGTACCTTTTGGTTTTGGGAAGTTTAGAATTTCCTTGCCTAGTCACAGTGACTGAGACTTTAGTCTATGAGACTAGTTTGCTATTCAGGCTTTTTTTGTGTCTATTTTATAATTATTGTCCAAGAGACTTATGTTTATTTCTCCCTATTTAAGCTAGCCGAGGTTTTCATTAACTCACCAGTGTTAATTGGTCGCATCAGACTTAATTGGCTGTCTAGGCTTCATGTCAATTTCTTGACAAATTGTTGATTTAGCTATTCTCTTAAAGCTTTGTATTACTGTTATACAGTTGCTTACCTAATCAGACTGTATATTATTTGTCCTGGTTTAATTAATCGTTGTCAGTTTCAATTGTTATTCTAATCTTTTTATTTTTATCTATACCAACATATTGCTGATAATGATAAACCCGTGAACGTGTTACAGCGTTTTCATTACTACTTTATCCTTGTTTAATGATGCCTTGGTTTCTTGAGCACAGCTCCGTGACAGATACCATGCCACAGATTAACACGAATACCCCACAGAATACTGGCTCCGGGACCACCAGTCCTTGTTTATCCCCTTAATACCGAGCGCCAGGCAGGGTAACAACAAGTACCATCTTTTAAAGTATTTTGGTGTGACGCGACCGGGGATCGATTCCTCGACCTTACGCTCTCCGGGCGGACGCTCCCAGCTAAACCACGGAGGCGGTACTGGTGTGACAGCAACATCAAACTTATTTTAATTAATAAAACCCACAAGGACAGATATGATGCTGACGTTTTGACATGAGCCATTCTCCACGCTGGCCCTTTGTCTAACGTTATGTTACCGGGTAAAAGGTAAACCACTTTTACCACTCTGTTGAAACCCAGAAGCACGGGTCTAGTGCTGGCAAACCTAGGCGAACCAGGATTCGAACCAACAATAGCATGTTTCTGGTATATTTTAGGGACACAACTCTGAAAAGCACATGTGCTCCCAAAAGAACAGAAACATCTAAATAAGAAATTCAGTTATGAAAATTTATCATACGACATAATTTGCAACCTCACTTAAAGGCTATTTAATTCATCGAGCACAAATGCACTGCTATACATTCCGTGTCGATATTCAGTGTACATTAGTATAATCTTCATACCCCAGCAAGTGGGAAAATGCGTTGAGAGAGCTCTATTTTCGTTTCAGAAGCAATGGCTTTGCGAATGTTGATTTGATTGTGTAAGATGACACAGGGCTCATTAATTTTCTAGGAGTATATTAAAATGATCTCTCAAGTACTTCTTGTGTGACTGTCCAATGGTTCCTCGGTATAGTGATGAAGTTCGATCATCACTGTCATCAAGTGGTCAATACGTTACTAGAAAATTGTAATAATAGTCTGTCATCAATTTCCAATTAAATTCCGCTTAGGGTGTTTTTATCCGAATGTAATCAGTGACTCATTTGAAGTCGATTTATATATAAAAGAAAAACTAAGATATCGTGTGTCAGAGAGTTAAATAAAAATGCAACTGCTTTTTTTAAAACGAACTCCAATTTTCATTTTCCACTTTTAAAAACAGGTGATGAACCAGGATAATGGTTTCCCATCAAAAACGTTAATAGCCCGTGGCCGGATTCGATACTTTAGATTCACCGTACTTTATTGCAGTTGAGAGTAGCCAAACAGATTTTTATAACAAATAAGGAGTTTAGTATTGATTTAAAACAGAAATACTTGCACTAAAAATATCCGATTCAAAGATCTTCGAATCAGCGTCTTGTTTCGATAACCAGACTCAAATTTCGACCAAGGGAATACACGTCGACATTTATATCTGCAAGATAATTCCGTAAAGCATTTGATAATTTGGTCGATTTCCTTGGTTGTTTTTAGCACTACCGATTGAGTTTTCTTTGGAAATTGAGATTTTTATTCATTTAGTAATTTCCGTAGTTGTGTCCTTTATCAAATATAAGCGAGCGGTGTATAATCTGGCTGTGACGTTTATGGTTAATGACGTTTACACCAAACCTGGAAACATAATCAACGACCCCACGAGCATAGGTTTCTGGTACGTCTAAGGGACGCAACTCTACACATAGAACCCAGAGAACTGAGACGACTGGGGCGCATGTGCCCCGTGTCATATATCTGATAGTCTTTACTGTGTATATATTCTTGTGCCAACAATACATCTTTCATGACAACCATTAGGACACGATTTACTATTTTTCCGATATTTGTCGTTTTATGTGTAACTGTTCGAACGTTGATGATGTACGATATATGTACACATTGATCTCTAGCTCATGTACAGTAAAACCTTCTTAATTCGAACTTCATATGCATTCAGTCGATGTCAGTTTCTGGTTCGGTATAATCCCCATCAAGTCCTCTTTTTTCGAAGTACGGGTAGGTCTATATCATCGATGGCAAAGGTTGGCAAAGGTTATCGATAGTTCATTGTCTACGAATAACGTATATCTTCGTCTATAAATGCAAGTTATCACGTCATAGAGATCTGTCATATGCCTTTGTCTAATGTTTTGTAGCATGGACAAACACCCGATCTGGTAACGTTAACACTTGTCTCCGCACAAGTTGAAACCCAGAAGCACGGGTCTAGTGCTGGCAAACCTAGGCGAACCAGGATTCGAACCAACAATAGCATGTTTCTGGTATATTTTAGGGACACAACTCTGAAAAGCACATGTGCTCCCAAAAGAACAGAAACATCTAAATAAGAAATTCAGTTATGAAAATTTATCATACGACATAATTTGCAACCTCACTTAAAGGCTATTTAATTCATCGAGCACAAATGCACTGCTATACATTCCGTGTCGATATTCAGTGTACATTAGTATAATCTTCATACCCCAGCAAGTGGGAAAATGCGTTGAGAGAGCTCTATTTTCGTTTCAGAAGCAATGGCTTTGCGAATGTTGATTTGATTGTGTAAGATGACACAGGGCTCATTAATTTTCTAGGAGTATATTAAAATGATCTCTCAAGTACTTCTTGTGTGACTGTCCAATGGTTCCTCGGTATAGTGATGAAGTTCGATCATCACTGTCATCAAGTGGTCAATACGTTACTAGAAAATTGTAATAATAGTCTGTCATCAATTTCCAATTAAATTCCGCTTAGGGTGTTTTTATCCGAATGTAATCAGTGACTCATTTGAAGTCGATTTATATATAAAAGAAAAACTAAGATATCGTGTGTCAGAGAGTTAAATAAAAATGCAACTGCTTTTTTTAAAACGAACTCCAATTTTCATTTTCCACTTTTAAAAACAGGTGATGAACCAGGATAATGGTTTCCCATCAAAAACGTTAATAGCCCGTGGCCGGATTCGATACTTTAGATTCACCGTACTTTATTGCAGTTGAGAGTAGCCAAACAGATTTTTATAACAAATAAGGAGTTTAGTATTGATTTAAAACAGAAATACTTGCACTAAAAATATCCGATTCAAAGATCTTCGAATCAGCGTCTTGTTTCGATAACCAGACTCAAATTTCGACCAAGGGAATACACGTCGACATTTATATCTGCAAGATAATTCCGTAAAGCATTTGATAATTTGGTCGATTTCCTTGGTTGTTTTTAGCACTACCGATTGAGTTTTCTTTGGAAATTGAGATTTTTATTCATTTAGTAATTTCCGTAGTTGTGTCCTTTATCAAATATAAGCGAGCGGTGTATAATCTGGCTGTGACGTTTATGGTTAATGACGTTTACACCAAACCTGGAAACATAATCAACGACCCCACGAGCATAGGTTTCTGGTACGTCTAAGGGACGCAACTCTACACATAGAACCCAGAGAACTGAGACGACTGGGGCGCATGTGCCCCGTGTCATATATCTGATAGTCTTTACTGTGTATATATTCTTGTGCCAACAATACATCTTTCATGACAACCATTAGGACACGATTTACTATTTTTCCGATATTTGTCGTTTTATGTGTAACTGTTCGAACGTTGATGATGTACGATATATGTACACATTGATCTCTAGCTCATGTACAGTAAAACCTTCTTAATTCGAACTTCATATGCATTCAGTCGATGTCAGTTTCTGGTTCGGTATAATCCCCATCAAGTCCTCTTTTTTCGAAGTACGGGTAGGTCTATATCATCGATGGCAAAGGTTGGCAAAGGTTATCGATAGTTCATTGTCTACGAATAACGTATATCTTCGTCTATAAATGCAAGTTATCACGTCATAGAGATCTGTCATATGCCTTTGTCTAATGTTTTGTAGCATGGACAAACACCCGATCTGGTAACGTTAACACTTGTCTCCGCACTGTAATTGCAGCCCAATTCTTTTCGAAGCGAAACTTTAATTATTTCACTGAATCGTTATTCCAGGACTGTTTTCCAGGGGATAATGTGTATCCGATATTTGGTCACATCAGAGAATGGAATTAATTATGAAGAAATGAAAGACTCTAATTTGAAGACCAAAGGCCGTTATGCTTCTTGTAAGAGGCAACAAACTGGATCGGGTGGTCAGGCTCGGTGACATGGGAGTTTATGTGTCATCGTACCCCAAACGGCGTGGAACGTTGCTTTTAAAATATCAAATACTGGTTTGTCTGGCCAAGACTCGATTATTGTATAGGGGGAATATTGAGCAACCAACCAACAGACCAACCAGCCAGCCAGCCAGCCATCCAACCAACCAACAAACCAACTACAACAGAGGTACACAGCAGTACCCTTGGCGACTTACTTTGATCGTGACAACAGTTTGTGTGATATTATCTATCGACTTGTTCGCCTTGTCGATCACAAGCGTGGGCGTCTGAGCGTGGAACCCACTCTCGTTCCATGTTCCTGACTGAAGCAGACAAATATTATGAAGCCAACTTGTTGTTGTTACTATTTCTGCATTGCTTTAAAAACAAAGGATTTGTAAAATTTTAAATTGTGTTCAGAAAAAATACAACTGTGGTTTTATCGTGCACAAAGACCTTCTAGAACACAACTCGCATTTATACATTTACAAGTCACCGCCGAGGGAGAGTACAAGGCGTGCGAGAAGCTGTTTTCCAGAGGTATCTTGGCTGCAGAGGGACGGGTTGAAGCCATCGTGTTAACACAACTGTTTATAAATTATTACATTTTGAATTTAAGCTACATGTAGCAGCCGTCCCATGCAAGCCAGTAGTTGGTTGGACCCGACCAGTCTCTATTATTGTAATAAAATGTATATACTGTCTTGAATTACCTTATGATTAAACAAAAATACAATCCCCCAAAATTATATAATATTTCCTGGGCGTTATGCTTCGGGAACACACCAAGAAGTGGAAATATATGTCGGATATTTATGTTATTTTCCGAATTCCTATAGGAAACACGGACTGCTTCCTGTGTTGTCTCGTTCCACATACGTTAGCTGTTCCTCTGTACATGGACACCTCTAGGACCTGGACCTGATATTCTTTTCTTTGGCCATTCGATCCAAACGCAACATAGCCGCTATTGCCACTAAAGCGTTTCTGAAATACAAAAGTAATGGTATTGCAATCTTTGGATAAACATTGGGGGACTGGTCCATTTCATTTTCGCCTGACAATCCATTTTTGATTCGAATGCTGAGAAAATATGTTCAATTTTTATTTCCCAAGTGACAACGGGCTCAACTGGACCTACTATAGGCCTGCGGCAAATCGCAATCCCGGTAAGCTTGATTTAGATAATTCAAAGCCTTCTTTGTTTGCCTGCTAACTCATATTTTATGCATATGGATCTGGCAGTTGGTGATAACCCCGATGGTAGTGTGTCAATTCCTCACAGGTTGTATTTACAAGGTCTTGATGCAGAGTGACAATGGAGTGATCGAGGCTGAAAAGCTTTGTCTATCTTAATTTAGATGTGTTTCACTTATACTACATGTCCCCGTGTTTTTTAAGGTGAACAATTGACTCTCCATTGCATGTGTTTGTGACAGGTGCCACCGTTTGGCAAACACCTGCTATCATCACTGTGTGATAGTGTCTCCAAAACACATGCTTTTGATAGTCGGAATCCTACAATGAACTCTTCCTTGTCACTTGCATGTTGATAAGTCAACATCATAAATACTATATGACTCCACTTATTGGCTGACATAGATGCAATAATGGTAAAGTATCCACAGACAAAACGTCACACATGTATTTAGAATAATAACTAAAAAGTATAAAACATTTCATCGTTGTTTCCTTTATGTTAAGAACATAATTTAATGTACATTAACCGCCAAATTGTTGAATGGATATTCTTAAAAAATCGAACACGTATCAGCCTTATACTTCTGAGTTTAAGTATCACGAAAACAACTATAATTCCATATTAAAACAGGAAAAAATGCGCAACGAGGATATGCATATGTCACACACACTTAGAATTATTATAAGTAATACAGTAGCAGCCAGAAATAATATGACTATCACTCTATCAGGTATTGTGTGTATTTTTGAAACTACCGTCATATTCACATCTATTAAACTACTATCACCTTTCGATACTTACTGAAATATATACGGTCGATGTTTTAAAGTGTTTGACATGCACATACATGTACATGTACCTCAACCTACTCGCGTGGCGACGTACCTCATACAGCAGCTGAGTGAGCATGTCCCCATACGACCATGGGTGTATTTTCACACAGTCGATGAGCCTGTTGTTCCCCATTCTTGAATTCAAATTTTCGAAGCTGTTCTTTATTGCAATGCTGCCATGTTTATGCTGCAGTTCTTCCAACGACAACGTCAGCAGCGTCACTGCGTCTACAGCATATGCTTCTCGGGCCTGTGTGTTGGAAAATACATAAACTGAAACACCGTCAATCCGGCGGTAACTCCTCATATCAAGCTGTCCAGATAACCAGCATACCTCACGGGGCATTGTCATTGGAGGGGCGCTGAAGACCCGGGTTCGATCCCAACATGGGCACAATGTGTGAAGCCCATTTCTGGTGTCGCCGCGATATTCCCGGAATATTGCTAAAAGCGGCGAAAATCATACTCACACACTCATTCACCCATCAGTGTCATTAGTGTATACGAAAAAGTTAACTGCTCATTATTAGCTAAAAGTAGTAATTACTTTATCGAAAAGCATGTTATCATATAAATTAAATAACGATATAGAAATATCTCAGCAATCATCCTTGAAATCTCTGTATGTACCTACCGGTGTGTGTCTTATTACAATATCCCTGTTGAGCTCAAAGCCGGTGATGTTCACTCCTCCAATCTTGAACATGGTCAGATTTAATTCCTTTAATTCCTAAAATAAATACATAAAACGTTTATACTTGTCTCTACTTACTGACTATCATTTAAGCTAAATAGGCATGCCATCAAACACATTCAATGTTAATAACTAAAGGTATTACACAATAAATACTTGTCCAACAACAGATCTACAGTTTAAATATTAATACACTATATATGTAAGCATATGGAAGATTGTAGATAAATTATTCATCTCTGTTACGAAACGCACGAGCACGGGTATTATATTGGCAGATCAAGCATAAAAACTATGCCGAATTTTGAATTCGGCACATCTAAGTGACATAACATTTGCGGTGTTTTAGACTGTAAAGTATAGGTTCCGTGTTTAATGTAGTGAGAATACATAATATGTACATTCTAGTTCTGGTACATACAAACGAGCGAAATACCACCTACTCACCAGCATTTTGTTGAAAGGGAGCGTAAATTTTCCAACAAATTTTGCAGTGCACCAAGCTCGTCTGAAGCTGACATTTACAATGTTTAGATCTGATTCAGGTTACTAAGTCACGTCCCCTTAACTTTTCAAGCTTCTGGATGAGTAAAGCCTTGCGAGTGCAGCTGACGTGGAGGACGTGTTGGAGGTACGCAAGGATCAATGTGTGGTTGACACCAAGATCATTTGGAGAGGGTGATAGCTGTTAACATTAATGCACGACATGGAAGTGCTCCATCTCAGCGTCATTTATTCTGTGAAACTTGCTTCAAGCTCGCAAGAGGGAACGCAGGATTTCAACTATCGAACGCCATTAGACCATGTTGTGTGGAGGAAAAAACATTTCATGTAGCACTTGTATGAATACCTCTACTGTCGATTAGAAATCTCTTTGGTTAAATTGCGTATTGGAAAATATAGAAGCGTCCCTCAAGTAGATGAGATGAGAATTTTGCATTTGATTTATAATGTACCAGAGATGTGCGCGTGGGAATGTTTATCCCTCTGTATTGGCTTTAGATAAATATGTTTAAATACAGTTCGTTATTCAGAAGTTTGAAGAATGCATGCCAGTGCAGGGGCTTGGTATGTAATTCAGTGTTGTAAGGGAACATGTTTAGAAGAGAACATAACGTATGTAAGACATTTTAGGAAAACTAGAGAAGGTGTATAATTCATATTGGACAATGTATGAGTGAGTGAGTGAGTGAGTGAGTGAGTGAGTAGAACGCAGACGAAACCGTCAAAGGTCGCTGATGGTTACTGCTTACATAGGTGAAACCTGTGCGTGGGTTATGACAAACCAGTGAAAACAATCGTGACGCTTCGTACCAACACAATATTTTCCTGACATGGCTAAGGGACGTAACCGTACACAACGTATCGCCTTATGCTTAGATGACGATATATTTAGGAGGGAGGGTTGAGCAGCGTTTCCAATTTTGACGAGTATTCGAACTTAGGACCACCGGATCATGGCATGGGTTAGATATGCCAGTCTGCATGGTGAAAGGTTGCATCTTAGACCTTGTGGCCAAAGGAAATGGATGTATTGTACATGTAGAAATATTTAAGAGAGACCATGTAGTATGTTTATAGGTTATTGTTAAGGAGATGTATAATTAGGTAGGTGCAATTACAAGACCAGGAGCGCAAATAATGGAATGTGATACTAGTTCATATGAATTAGATGCTGCACTGACTTAAACATAATGCAGGATTATTTGTGATAAATGAATACTTACTAAATGAGGAATTACAAAATGAAACATCATTTTCAAAATGTCCTGTTGACGCATCTGCAAAAAAAAAAAAAAGAGAATGAGAGAACGTTGTGGAAAGCCAAAATCAGCACCATTTTCGCTATATCACAAACTAACATATTGTCAGCACCAGATTTACTAGATACGCATGGGGAAGGATCCATGGCATCGGTACATGATGCTACTTAATCGTAGAACCTTGCATTGAGTTCCACGCTTTGTCGGCTCTAGACATCTTGTCTGACCAGAACTTCCTTCATGGGAAGACATGTCGCACAAAGAATGGTCCTGACATTGTCCTGGACGTATACAGTCAAGTTACATTTAGAAAGTACCGACTTCCTGCTTCAAAAAAGAGACAAAAGACTGAACAAATATAAATATGATATAACTGAAAGAAACACTCACAATCCTATTTATGATTTTAGATGCTTTGAAAGGTAAAAGGTCCAAGACAACTCTGATGGCCCGGCCGATGTCTTTTTTGTGCATAGCGGCGAGCAGTTTAAAGCAGTCATCCTCGTCTTTCACATGACGGACGTCAATATTGATGACGTGTTTTGCCATGTGCCCAAATTCGTGCATTTGCTCTATGTGGGCTAAAGCTGGAATCAAAAGTAATTTCAATGTATTACTATGTGATTACACTGAAAAGATAAATTCATAACAGTAGTACTACTTAAATAGTTGTTTTGTAACAATGTTTTTCGACTTTTGTAGCAAAACAACAGGAAACAGATATACGAGGGCTGGTCACAACGTTCTGAGCCTAACAAACAAAACGAACAATTGTGAAAGTGTTTTTAATTTTATTTTTCAACATAATCTCCCTGCTTTTCAATACACTTCTCATATTGATAGTGAAGCTTTTCAATTCCTGTCAGGAAGAAGTTTTCTGAAGCCACCCTGAAAAAACAATTCACGGCAGCTTTGAGGTCATCGTTATCGTCATAGCGCTTTCCACGAAGGTGTTCTTTCAGTTTAGGAAACAGATTGAAATGGTGCCAGGTCTGGTGAGTACGGAGGGTGAAGAAGCTCTTCAAACCCACATTGTCGCACAACAGCCTTTGCAAGTCGAGAGGAAAAAATGAGAAGAGGCATTGTCAATAAGGAGTAGAACTCCAGCGTCAGCATTCCATGCCGCTTTTCTTTGAAAGAATCTCTTAGGCGATGAAGCAAATCAGTATAGTAGGCACCGGTAATCCTCTTTTGACTTTCTAAGTAATCAACAAGGATCACACCCTTTGCATCCCAGGATACAGTGGCCATAACTTCCTTCACTGATCTCAAAGACTTTAATTTCTTTGGTGCCGGAGAAGTGGAATAGTGCCATTCCATGGATTGACGTTTTGACTCGGGATCATATTGGTAGACCCTCGTTCACAACCCGTTACTAATCTCTTTTTGAATGTGACGATATCCTCCTGAATTAGATCTTAATTTTCACTGGCAATGTCAGTTCTTTTTTCCTCCAGAATCAAGAAAACTTTGGCACCCAAAGAGCAGATATCTTATTTATCTGTAAATGTTCATGAATAATAGTTTCAATTGATCCATGGCTTAGACATGTGTCTTCCTCAAGTTCAACAATTGTCATTCGTCTATCTGACAGTATAAGTTTTTCTATCTCCTTGTGAATCTTCATTGATGGAAGTTGAGGGGTGTCCAGACCTAGGGTCATCATCATGGCTTTTTCTCCCAGCCTAAAACATAGTTGCCCAACGTTTACAATAAAATAGCTGGAGCACCTATCCCAATGCACAAGCTACACTGATTAAAAACGCAGTAAACGACTGTACCTTGATGGAATTCAACAATTAACCCAGTTACAAAATACCAGATTGTAGTCTAATTAAAGGAAACAACTAACCCAGTTACGAAATACCAGAGTGTATACACAATGGTGACCCATTACCCAAGTTGTAAAACACACGGGCGAAAGATCCGTGAAGATCCGGGGTAGAATAGGTCTTCAGCAACCCATGCTTGCCGTGAATGGCGACTATGCTTGTCGTAAGAGGCGACTAACGGGATCGGGTGGTCAGGCTCGCTGACTTGGATGATGCATGTCATCGTATCCCAATTGTGTGGATCGATGTTCATGATGTCAATCACTAGATTGTCTGGTCAAGACTCGATTATTTACAGACCGCCGTCATATAGCTGGAATATTCCTGAGTGCGGCATTGAACAACAAACAAACAAGATAGAAAACTGATAAAAAAAGAACCAATAACCCAGCTGTAAAATAAAGCTTTTCCTCTGATGAAAGGAAACCGGAAACTCGGCCGCCATGTATACAATTTATATTTTGAGTTACTCATTCGTATGCAAAGTCTATCCACGGGGACATATATTTAATTCATAGTTAAACCCAGTGGACTAGTGCGTTTATTTTTTTCATTACTTTATTCCTCAAGCAGCAACTTCAGAAGATTCAAGTTTTGTCACAACCCCCAAGAGAGGCATCCAGCAAAACAAATGTGGTTAGGATGTCATGCCATATTTTATTACGCTTTTATGTCCCGTTTCGCGCCGATAAGACCCCCCTCCTCTTCCCCCCCACACACGATAAAGTAGAATATTACCATCACCAGTAGCGCCAGATCTAATGAAATAATGTGTAACAAAACCTGATGTCACGCTTCGAGAATGAAGAGTGGCCCGTTAAGACCAAACATATATGCCTTTAGTTCAGGTCCTTGTTAAGAGTAAGGAATGATTTTCCCGTTCCTGAATATGAGGCAAGTAAATACCAAACACCGTTCCCTGTCAAGAAGCAGTTATTTGTCTAGCCGTTTAAATCAAAGATTCCCGCTTAGCCAATTAAGGATAACTGCATTTTTCATAATACGACAATATGAGTTATTATGTTCTATCGATCGTCATTCATTTTTGGGTTTATCATTCCAAATTTCCACTTACGCTTTTTGGACCAAGAGATTATATCCGAACCAGAATTCATTACGGTTCATGCTCAATGGTAAGTCGACCGTAATTTCGTCATCTCGATGGAAATGACTGGAAATCACTTGAGAAAAGTCGCTATCACAAAATAAATTGCACTTAACACGCCAAATACTCTTTGAGCCATGTAGTGGTGGGCTGGATGCTTGTTTCCCATGGGGGATCTGCGTTATTTATGTAGGACTCCCGAGAACATGAAGAGAATAAACTCTAGGAGATAAATCAATGACATGTATTCCATATAGATGTACCACAGTCAATGTGACGGCATTCGGTATAGAACATAATATTTGCACGCAATCACCGGCCTAGCAGAATCTGTTTTGTGATTAAATATTGAAACCCACGCATGCTAAAATATGACATAGAGACAGGGAGCGAATGAAGTATTTCTGTATCCTTCTGTAACCATCAAGATATGTATATTTCAGTACTGAATATGAATGACTAAACGTCATGAACGGGATTGCTGTCAACATGTACAATGTATTACCATACTTATTTACAATATGTACGCCGAAGACCCGGGTTCGATTCCCGACATGGGTACAATGTGTGAAGCCTATTTCTGGTGTCCCCTGCCGTGATATTGCTGGAATATTGGTAATAGCGGCATAAAACCATATTCACTAACTCACTGTTTACAATATGTGCACTTTGTTTTCGAAGCTATTTGATATATGCAATGCTATTTTGTGAAGCTGAGCAGAATGAGTGACACGTTGCTAGGCCGCCGCGTAATACTTGTGGGTGGTCTAGTCGAGACTGGCGTTCTCCCATTGTGTATTCACTGCGCATGCGTTAGCCGATCACGATGACGTCGGGTGTTGTGTTGTGTCTACCTTATTCAACAGCTGGACAAAAGATTTGGCTCGAAGCACGACACAAGTTTAATGTACGGAAGTTTTACCAGCTGAATTTATTTGTAAAACTAATCGAGATCTTGAGCGAGTGGGTGAATGAAAATTGCTTAACGCCGCATCATCTAAGGTCATACATTCTCGTTGACAGGTTCATTCTCTTAATGATGCAGTGATCTTAAAATCCCGATTTCAAAGTTTCAGTGTCTTACTGAAATAGTTTTGCGTGGCCATCACATACTGGTGGAAAAAAGTATAGATTATTCTGTGTTTCATATAAAGTTAAATAAAAATAGATGTATTCTGAAATGAAATAATGAATGTTTCAAAAGACATTCATGGAGACATCTGGGGGCACGGGTGGCCCAGTCGTCTAAGGCGCCGCGATTCGCTGTGCAGAGTTGCGTCCCCTGGGCACGCCAGAAACCTATGATTGTGGGTTCGAATCCCGGTTCGCCCCGATTATGTTTCTAGGTCTGTCAGCACCATACCCGTGCTCGTGGGTTTCACCGAAGTGGTAAACGTCTGAGACCTGCATCACTTCGGGCTTTCCTCCCACATTAAGCTGACACGCCGCGATATAACTGGAATATTGTTAAAAGCGGCGTTAAACCCAACTCACTCACTTACTCATGGAGACATCTCTTCTACTTTAAGGTCGTGATTCACAAGTTGCACATGCGTGTGAATACCCGGCACACAATTGGATGTTTGCGTGCTTGTTGGAAGCATGATTCTCACACGTGTGTGAAGAGCACACAGTGATTATTTTGCCATCAGGTGCCCACAAAACGCTAAAACCGTAAATAACGCTTACGCAGTGTCAAGGCTTACTGAAAATCAACGTCTACATGCCGTGGGTATGCTGCAAAGAGGAATGGTGTGCACAACAAAGTTGCCAGACATTTTAATGTTCATCGAAACGCGCGTTCGTCTTTTGAGACGTCATCTAGAGCAGGCAACACTCATGACTGCCCGGTCGTTTTCGTGTGACGTCACGTCAACAAGTCAACCATATTCGGTTGGTGCATCTAGTGAATCGATGCCAACTACCACATTAACATCTCGGACAATTCCTGGGACTAAGTAGTGGCAGAAACGTACTCAGCCGGTTGAGTAGAACATTTCCGGCCCCGACGCCCATCCAAACGCCCAAGTTTGCTTCAACGTCACCGTCAGACACGCCTTGCTTGGTGTAGACAGCATCTGAGGCGCAGAAGACAAGATTGGGACAGTATACTGTTCACAGATGAGTCCAGGTTTCATCTGATTCACAGCTGATGAAGTAGGAAGAACCATTTCACTCACAAAAGGTTAGCCAAGCATCGTCTCAGCGAGCATAGAGGCCCTCGCAGGTTCACTCTTCAAAGACAACCAGATCTCACGGAGATGAATCGCGTGATTAAAAAAACCTACCCTCATCTCAAACTGACCGTCTCTGTTTGGTGATACTGTAAACATTCGTCAATCCAGTGCGTTTCTGTACAAACAGTATTTGAGTATTTCGCAACGTCATTGTCATGTTTGTCCACACTTAACTGAAGGTATTTCATCATACATAATTTTAACTCGAAAAAGATTTCTTGATGAATGGCTAGCGTGCTTATTGGTAAACAAGCACCACTAACGGGAATGATGACGAAAACTCTACTGGTGCATCATGTAGGAAGTAGAGGTGCTGTCCCCGTGGCCCCCGGTTATATAGTTGACATGTAGCTCTGGATGCTAGACTTAGTGATGGAGGTTGGCAAAGCAAAGGTTTCCAAGCATCGACGCGTCACTCTAAATCCTGCGCGCCTGTCATTTTATTGCCAACAAGACAATATTGTTTCAGATTGTCCGCGTAAAATAAAACAGAATCTATTTTTCATGAACTGAAAATATACGAGTTCATCAGTGTGTGTCCAGTTGTGTATGTTGGTATTCTTCGTGAAAAAAGTGTTCCTCTCGCATCACTTTTATTTTCAATAAAAAAATGAAAAAATTTCCCAACCCTCCTCACCTTTGAGAAAAAAATGTCACGTGAAACAGTTAATATTCTTTTATATAGTCTTATACCCCGTGTGTTAAACAGCCACTGGTATAATTGATATGAACAGATATTCTTAACATTGTCTGTGATATTTCTAGAAGCACTTTCCGTCTTTTGCAAACAGGTTTATTAATAAACATACAGAACTTTCTCGTCGCTATATAGATAAAAGATGCTCACTCTTACCTTCATTTGTGTCATATATATAGATCACTTCTTCCCAATTGTAGGTTTTGATGACATCGACCATGGCACGTATGCCAGTTGGTTGTATATATATTTGATATTTGGAGTGATACTTTGATTTGATATCTGCTGGGTTATTGAGCACAATGAACGGTGCGCGGAGATTGGCAGTATAATCTTGTATTGTGTGATGAACTGCTCGACTGGAAACTCCCAACAGTGCCACAGCCCCGCTGTTAAGTAGACCGCACGCTGAAACAAGAAAGATAGAAATACCAGAATAATGTTGAAATGTTTTGCTGTATGAAATACAGTGATACCTTATCAAGTTATCAAGAGTTCTACCCACTCGTGTCAAACTAGGCATCATTGACCACTCCAGCAGTCCAGACAAGACGCTACCCACGCAACACTTCGTAAAAGGTCGACACGACCCAACGCGCACCGATTGGCTTCATCACACTCCTCAGATCTACAGCCTTTGTCTTGTCATCTGCCTTCATTTTTGTTGACAACTTCTCTGCAACAGTGAACTGTTGTTGGTTCAATTACTTTATATGACTGCGTGTCAGATAAAGGTTGATGGCGAAACCAACGTCACTCACTCACCCTCTCTCTATCGTTCTGATTGTCTTTTTAGGATTCAACTGGACAAGCAAGTGTCAAAACACAGACTGATTTATTAATTGATTAGCTAGACAAGTAGGCTTTTATATAATGCAGAAATACGTTTTCTGTCTTAGTGACCGTCGGTTATGCTTAGCCGCCATGTCTGAGAGATATTGAGTCGCATACATAACGTGCTACCATGACGTATGCAATGTCGTCCTGTATAACAGCAAATCTCCCTACAAGATGAATGTTTCTGCAATATGTTGGCAGACATATGGATAGCAGTTGGCCTGTGAAGTGTGTTCAAATTTTCAAACATCTACATGTGTAAGAGTAGTGTTTTGTATTTCGACACAGAACATCAGTCAATATAGTTAAATCACTTTAAAATCAATTTCGTAAATGTATTTTGATCAGGATGTGTGTATGATATTCAACAGCGAGGTTTAGATTCATAGCGAGGGCTATTCGGTTCCCTCGTTGTTAGAGCGTACGCCGACCCGCTCGATTTTCACATGGGCACAATTTGTGAAGGCCATTTTTGGTGTCTCCCTGCCATGATATTGCTGTAATATTGCTAAAAGCGGCGTAATTTTCATTCACTAGATTCACAAATTGAAAACTAAATCGAGCAAGTCTCTACTGTGATAATTGATAGTATATAAGAAATACTTGCTTTGTTAGAAAAACGTCGTTATAGGAAAAATGTTGATATATTTTGACAAGTTCTAATGTAACATCTATGATTAAGAATGTAAAAATCAACTATTTCTTGTATAGTAGTACAAAGGCGTGCTAATGTTTATTTCTTGTAACCTGTTTATTTTTTCCGTTAACCCTGTGTGATCAGAAGTTTACAGGAGTGGCTGTTTCGTGTCTGGTTGTCCGAGGTTTGGTTAATTAAGTACGCTCTGACGATAGAATAGACAATCAAGCAGAGTTTCTGAATGTTAAATAATGATGATTACCGCCTTGTTGCTGACTTTAGAGGCTTCGATATTCTGTTATGGGACATTATATGAACCATGTATATCTCACAAATGTTGCTGACGACCAATCGTTGTTTTCATTACATTATGCTTACGTCTAGGCATGGGGAAATGTGTGTGTGTGTGTGTGTGTGCGTGCGTGCGTGCGTGCGTGCGTGCGTGCGTGCGTGTGTGTGTGTGTGTGACAGCTTGTATTAGTCCTGTTTTATAGTGCCAGTCCACTGAGATATCATGCAGCAGTTAGTTTAACATGGATACCTAACTCATTATGTCCCTATGTCCCTATGTACATATTTCTTTAACATCTGCTATTCCTCAAAACTAATCAGGGGGCACGGGTGGCCCAATCGTCTAATGCGCTGCTATTTGCTGTGCAGAGTTGCGTCCTTTGGACACGCCAGAAACCTATGATTGTGGGTTCGAATCCTGGTTCGCCCCGATTATGTTTCTAGGTTTGTCAGCACCATACCCGTGCTCGTGGGTTTCACCGAAGTAGTAAATGTCTGAGGCCTGCATCACTTCGATCTTTCCTCCAACATTACTGACTGAGTATGGTTTTACGCCGCTTTTAGCAATATTCCAGCAATATCACGGCGGGGGACACCAGAAATGGGCTTCACACATTGTACCCATGTCGGGAATCGAACCCGGGTCTTCGGCGTGACGAGCGAATGCTTAAACCACTAGGCTACCCGACCGCCCCTCCTCCAACATTAAGCTGATACGCCGCGATATAACTGGAATAGTGTTAAAAGCGGGCGTTTAACCCAACTCACTCACTCACTCACTCTTTAACATCTGCTATTCATCAAAACTAATCAACCACCTTGAATGACGACATAGATCATGTGGTCAGGCTCGGTGCCTTGGTTGATTCCGTGTCACCGTACCCCGACTGGATCGTTGCATTTAATTAATTATCTCAATCACTGGATTGTCAGGCCTAGATTCGTTTTTGTACAGGCTGATGTGATAAAGCAGGACTACAGCTCTTTGTAAAAGACAACAAACAACTGAGAATATTTCAAATTCTGGTTTTCACTCAGAAGCTGAAAAACATTTCTCAAGAAATCTTTCAGAAACCGCCATACAAATTTAGTATTTCTTTTTCAAATCGGTATGTATCAATAATCTATATGTATCTTAGTATGTCTGTGAAATACATCCCTCCTGATATTCACAAAATGGCCTCCTTTCACTTGGGAAAAGAAAGGTGACCCCTTAGAATGAAGCTCATTTAAAAGTCTAATTAAGTGTCGTGGGAATAGATTGCAACTTCTCAGTCTCAATGAATGGCTATGGAACGGATGTAGTTTGACTGTCGCCTTTAATTTGAGACTGTCCTTTTTCAGCTCAGAATCGTGACTTATCATACCCTATACGACTCTAATTTAAACCGACAGCCCTGTTTCACCATTTCCTTCGAGTATTGCGTAACGCTCAAGAAGTTAACCCAGAAGAAGCTTTATGCTGATGGAACGCCAAATGATATTGCAATGATTATCGTTTTCCAAAAGTAAACGTCTGGTGCAAAATACACAACCAGGTTCTTTGAAAGCTTGTTTTGAAAATACGTGTCTTGAATTCAGACAGTAAGTAATCAATTTGTCAAACGAAATCGGTAATAGCCATAAATTGTTCAAATGCAGAACCTCTTTGCCAACAGACATATTCTACGTCATTGGGTGACCTTAATGAAAACTGGATCAAAGTCAACTTGGCCATGGCGGATGAGCTCTCTATCATTAGCTGTTTAGGTTTCGGATCTGGCTTTGCCATGGCTGAGCTGGTTTGACAGCGCTGAGTCTTGGAATAACAGCTAACTGAGTTAGCTGCGTGTGTTCTATTTCGATTGTCAATATGAAGAGTAGTATTTTAAGTACAAACTCGTTTTTGATTCGTGCACTTCTAAATCCAGCATTGCATTACAGAAGAGTGTTTTGTAGATTCCGGCCTACAGTTACATGTAATCGCTTGTTGAAACTATATGTCTGTTTTATGATATCTGGATGTAGAATTCACGTTAAAAATAGCCGAGCAGATAAAATTGATACACGTCATACTTGAGGAAAATTATTTATAGTTTTTCGATACGATGGTGCTAAAAGTGCATCTTATGTCCTGTAATGCATTAAAGTGAAACTATTATATTTTTTTAAAGACAAATCCAACCGAGATATGATTAATATTACCAGCCTACTGTCATCTGTAACCTTTACCAAAGGTCGAAGATTCCTGAAGGACAAAACATGTTGGTCATTGTAGTGATATTGCAGTATTTCTGTTCACATTTGAACAACAACATTGGAACTGAATTGTTTGCTCCCTTTTGGGTTTAGTTTTAATTTAAATCTTGAAGCATGCCGTGAAGGTGAAAACCAATAACCTTAAAATCTGAAGAACTGACTTAAGTGAGGGGGGACATTGATGTTAGAATCATATGAATCATTTGAATCATTACGAATCACTATGAACTTTAACAACCTGAAATAACCAATGAAGTGTACAACATTCATTAACGTCTATGCCCAGAGCCTTTCGTTTGAGAGCCATCACATAGGTGTTTCCATGATGGCCACCAGCCAATATAACCTCATTCCCGCCCACATAATATTGGTCCCCAGTGTATCGTTTGTGCTGAACTTTTGCCGGATAGGCTCGTGGAAAGATTTCGCTTATTCGTCGATATTGACATACACGAAATGTACAGTGAATAATAAAACGCCGAATGTAAGATAATATCCACTGCCTGGGGTTATTGGTGTACGATCGAGTCGGCTGTGTTTGTTTGTTGTTTAACGCTATACTCCACCACATTCCTGCTTTGTCCAGGCAGTCCGTTACTTACCCAGACTGTAACAGACAGTGATTGACATCATGAGCGTCAACGTACCACCAACCATGAGCCTGAGAAGGATGTGAGTGATCGACATTTCCCGGAACCCACACGGATGCTCTGTCTTGAACATGATATTACTGTATTATCTTTGACATAATTATTCCCCGATATATCTATTACGATACATCTATTACGTATTACCGTCATAATAGTGTTGTTAGTGAGAATAGAATCTGGGGAATAGCAATTTTGAAAGGATATATAAGGAAATCTGCGTCAACATATTATTCTTGGACATGGTACTTGATCTTTGTATGCAATAATATAATAATAATAATAATCATAATAATAATAATAATAATAATAATAATATAAGGTCATGGAAATAGACATAAATAAATTGTTAAATCAACTCTTGTTTCATGAAAAAATCTGTAAGATATAACAAAATTGCAGAATTTAATGTAGCAAAAACCTAGAATTGCAAAGGAATATTTACGGTTTCAGCTTTGACAAAAATCAAATATACTCATAAGTTACACATATATATTAATCAAATATAATTCGGTTTTGCTGAGAATAAGTGAGTGTTGTTTGTATGGGCACGTTCATATCATCATTTATTCTACAATGCAAAGACAAAAACACTAACTAAATTGTTATTCGTGTATTAAGAACAGGTTGTTCCAAAATTCCATAGGTCAAATATCAGATAAAAATTGTAGAACAACAATATCAGAGTGAACACTGCAAATCCAATTTGCCGCACAGTTCACATAGAAACGTCAAGAGAGAAACTTATGTCCTTATTA